TCGAAGGGAAACACCTGAAAGTTGGAGAAAAGGAGAATCACTGTTATTTAAATAGTGTTTGATTATGCGCGCGCGGGGGAAAAGCCTACGTTTTGTATGGAGGAAGAAGTGTCGCTCGTCGTTTTTTTTTTTTTTTTGGAGGGAAAAAGTAAAGAAAAAGTGTAGGGAAGAGAGGAGAGAAAATGACGAGGAGTTCTTTAACGACTTGTCTGACAAGATTTGAGTCAGCGTGGAACGGAAGTCGAAGGCGGGTACAAAACCAAGTCTCTGATCGTTAGTATTTTATGCGGGGCATCATTATTATCCTCCTTCGGGACCATGTTCGAGAGCGACAGAGAAAAAAAAAGTCTCTTCTCAGTTAAACTGACGCCTTATGTGCTAAAATTTAATCAAAAATTGCTAAATTGCGTTGATTGAAGATGAATTTTGGGGACCAATTAAGCGTGAATTGTCTGTTTTTGGGGGATATTTTGGGCAAATCTATCGGAAATCATACACAGAAAACACTGAAGCTTCTTTTTCATGGGGGATTTATTGGTGAGGAATATGAAGCTGAAGTGCAGCAACTGCAATACGCTGTACCCTCGAGACATGCGGCCGATTTAATGGGGAACGCGAAGTGCGCGATTTAAAATGAAGCAGAAATTCTCAGTGGCTGAGCAACATGCAAATTTGGGTGCATTTTCCGTGGCCTAATGAGTGGTTATCGTGACCCCTCAATTTACCAGGGAAAAAATGCAAATAAAATTGGCAATTTGGGACAGAAATTAGGGGGCATTGTGACATTTTACAGGGCATTGCAGGCAATTTCCTGCATGCCTTCTACTTCTTCGCGGCCCCAAAAACTTCGACTTTCCTGTTCACATATTTGTACGACATGTGAAATTTATTCAATTCCCCCCTTCGAAAGAAGAGTTGATATTTTTCATTTCGTGTGTCATTATTCTCCCCTGGTCGGTTGTGTCTTGGGAGAATTTAAATCGAATTTGGAGGAAGTTTTCTTGGGATGGCGAGAGCACATGAAGTGGGGTGAATGATGAAGAAAACAACGCCAACGAAAAAATGCGAGAGAAGCAATTCGATGATTCAAAATGAATGTGAAGAGATGAAAAGATGTTGCACCTGGCCATCCGTTCATTTTTTTCTCTCTCTCTTCACTTCTCTGGCCTCTTATTCTTCCTCCTTCTCCAACACAAACCATCCTCGAGGCGCAGTGAAGATGCTCTTTTGCTACTTTTTGATGCTGCCAGCGGAGCACAGAAAAAAATATACATATATCCACTACAATACGAAAAAGAGTCTCTGGAAGACTTTTTCACCTCTCGCACTCTCTCGTATATTAGCGTATTTTTTCCTCCTAATTAAAATTAAAGAGAAGAAGAAAGGTGTTTTTGTCTGGTCGTCAAGAGACACGGAATGATAAAAATAGCTCCCAAAGCAGAGCTCTTTAGTGCCTCTCTCTCGCTCTGTTCTCAGTGTGGAGATGGGAATGAATCAAAAGGATTAATTCAGAAGGTGTCAATTTACACCATGAGATGTGTGTCGGTGACTCCCAAGGCGAAAAATTTAACGAAAAGTTAAGGGAAAACAAGAGGGAAGCCATAAGTTCTCTCTCTCTTCTTTCTACTCTTTTTTTTTTGCTGACGATGCGCGAGAAGCGAAGGGCGACGTGGCGAAGAAGTTGGAGCATGAAGAAAACGAGTTGAATTTAGAAATACACGGAGGAAATCACAAATTATGTGATTTTTCGGTTGTAATAAATCAAATTAGATGTAACAAGAGGAAGCCCAAAGTGGTTTTTATGCTCCATGAGCGACGCCAAAATCTTCCTCCACGAAATCACCGATGAAGAGAAGATGAGACAATGATGGCCAAGAAAGGTGTCTCGAGTCCCGAAGAGGAGATCTTGAGACTTTTGCAAAGCTTTGTGAATCGAAAACAATGAAAAGTCAACTATTCATTGTTTACGCTGTTCATTTTGTCTAAGAAAATTGTCTCAAATTGCAATCAATCGTATAAAAAGCCTCTTTGAAAAATGATTATAAATTTTCAGAATTTCTCAGAGAGAAGAAATCATATTAAGTCTATAAAAAGTTGGTTTTTAGAACTTTTCTGGATAAAATGTGCTCAAAGACTATTAAAAATTGAGTTTGGAAAGGCGAAAATTGAGGGATAAATGCTGATATAAAGCGATAAAGTGAAGGAAAATACACGAAAAAGGAAAGGGAAGTGAGAAAGAGTTGTGAAAAAAACACAACTGCGAGAGAATCGAACCCGCGACTTCACAATTCTTAAAGCTGACGCTCTAGTTGTGCTAAATTCTCAATTGGGAAATTTGTGCAAGTCTTTCTGCCTTAATTTTGCCATATTTCTGTCAAATAGTTTCAGAAAATAATTATTAGAAGGTATTTTGATGTAAATTCAGTAAATTTTTCAGCGATTTTTACGCTAAATTCTCAATTATATCTCTTGAATAGTGACGATTTTGACTTTCCATAGTAATTTTCCAGAATAATACACACAATATTCTGAGACTCTGGTTTCTCTCAGTCATCACGACTGAACCTTGTGTGAATTGTGTGTAATTTATCGCTGAGAATGAGCAGATTTATCTCCTCTCATCGATTGCAAGTCGCGCCAATGCAGCAGAAGTTTCGGACTTTGGAAATAATCACTTCTTGACTTGACATGGCGACCCAGAAACTCCCAATTTGGACAAAGAATATTTCAGCAAAAAGTTTCACTCCACCCACGATTAAGCATTGATTTACTTCTCCCAAATCGATTAATCGAGTCATTGAGGAGTGAGTGACAAAATTACGACTGAATTTGCTCGCGATACTCTTTTTTTCTGTCTCTCTGTTACTCCATCAACAGCGCAAAATGGACAGTAATTAGAGACCTTTTCCTGGGGTTTCACAAGTCGAATTTCCATTTGAAATTATTATTTATTGCCACTCACAGTCAGAATGTATCAACTTTAATATGTTGGTGGATATGATAGCCGGAAATTACGACAATTTGGTGTTGAATTTCTTATGTGTGACGCCGAACATCAAACAAGTGGTTAAATAGAGAGGAAAAAGAGTGAGAGAAGAAGTAACAAAAAAATCCATATGAATATGCGTTACAATTTGAAAGTGTTGCCTTTTTTTCAGACACATTTCTTGCCGAAAAATTCATCACACGATCGAAGGTAGATTTCTTTCTTAATAATTATAAGACATCAGAACGATGAAGAGCCCTCACGAGAGTGTTTGATCTGGATTGGGAGTGAAACTTGTAAAATTTACATACACGAATTGATGTATGAAATGTATTTTATGGATTTTCTACTTAGAATTCCAATTTTGTGGGTTTTCCTGTCGCCCAAGTGCGTGTCTGTGTGGCTCTGTGTAAACATTAAAATCGCAAATTGGGTGCGGTTCATCAATTTGCGCGCCAATTGAATGAATAAAATGTCTCATGACATGTCATTCAGTGCGAAAATGCCAGGAAGTATTTCTCCATTTTGGTCGCATATATTTGGTAATAATATTTGTGTCAAAATATTCATGAAATGTGCATTTTTTTCACTCAAATCACACTGTGAAAAAGCTCACGCAATAATTTTGGTGGATAAAGTTTTCAAGCGCGCAAAAGAGATACTCAAGAATCAACCATGAATAATGGCGGTGTCTATGATTAAATATTAATAGAATAAATGAAGGATTCAGCCAAGCTAAAAAAAAAGTCAGTGACAAAACATCCGACAAATGAGTTGAATAATTCATTAAAATGTGTGATAAGAATTCTCTTGAACCCTCTTACAAATTCATTATGTTAATCCTAATAGTTTCCTCTCTCTCTCTTTCTCTCCTATATTCATGCTCAAAATTCACCTGAGATTATGGAGAGTCACAAAATTTTAATATTCCAAATACAATAAGGTTCAATAAGGTTTTGGATATGAGACGAAGAAGAAGAAGAGACACTTTAACGATGCCTTCTTCAACTCTTGTTTCTTCTGCATTTAATAAATTCTCCGCGGAGCTTCTTGTGTGCATTATCATGCACATCTCTCTGTCGCTCAAAGTGGGAAATGTGGAGGCTAATAAAATTATTATATTGAGAGAATCGATATTGTGGAGATTGCGTCTGTTGAAAATCAATGGTTGATGCGAGAGAAAGTCCGCTTTTCTTTTCAAATCTGTCACCTAAGATTGACGCAACGGCTTTTGCACGTGCGCCAACTTCACAATGGTAACAATTCCGTTGTCATTTCCAATGATGTTGCATATAAACATTCTGGGGCTTTTTCCTTGAGATTCGTGCCAAGAAATGTGCGCCTGGGGAAATAATCTAAATATTGAAACAATTGCGGTTGTGGGAGGGTGATCGGGAATGACAAATAACGTCTCTCTCTCCCTCTTCTTCTCTACAAAATGTATAGAAGAGGAGGGATTGTGAACGTGGCTGAAATGGCAAGAGAGAGAGAGAGTGAGTGAGTGAATGAATCGTCCGAAATGCTGAATGAGAAGATTCAATACAGTATGAATGGGAATTATAGTAGCAGATGTACGTTTTTTTTATCTTCTTTCTTCTTCTGGGGCTTCTACAATCCATGCCACCATACAAAATATTCATTGTACTGCTTTGCGTGCCTTGAGATGGAATTATTTTCAATCCATGTCGCTAGAATTATGGGGGAAAACAAATGGACTCAAGGTTGGATTTATGTGTTCGCCAATGGCTTTTTTCTGTGTCTTGAGGAGATGCAAGAGTGGCACTTTCTGCACAGTCAAATGACCCACATTGTGCGCGAAATGGAGTGTGCAGAATTTTTTATTGGCCATCCTTGCTCATCATCAATATTCTTCCGTTCTCACGACGGCCATCGATATACAATGTCATTTTTACGATTGACGAGAGATGAGGATCGTAAAGTGAGATTTTGAGCCATTTTCATGTGTGCGCTTCATCTGCACAAATGACACATTCTTTCCTTCTCTAAATTGCAGTTCGTCGAATTGGGCATCGTGACGTCCATTGAGTCCAATCACAAGCAAATCGAAACGGCACGAAAGGGACAGGAAGTGTGCATAAAGATTGAACCAATTCCAGGAGAGACGCCCAAGATGTTCGGACGACATTTTGAAGAGACTGATATGCTCGTTAGCAAGGTAAGAAGAAAGATCTCTTATTATTCGTATTTCAGTCCATATTAAATACCAATCGGATGTTGCAACTTTGCGTTTTCGTAGCTTATATTGGCGAATGAAATACGAACAAGAAGGCGTTGCAAGTTAAAGTTTGGAGTCTATTTAATGAGAATTTCAGTTGTCAGAAAGTCATTTCGTTGCTATTTGCTCTTTGAGGGTGTTTTTAGGGCAGAATATTCCAACTTCCGCCCAGTTTCTGGCCATTTTTCTCCACAAGGAAGTGAGGAAATGTTCTTCAGTGAAAGCGAAGAGTGTTTTTTCGTGTTTCTCCGAAACAAATCTCAAGGAACTTTTAAGAGTTTTCAGGGATTGCCAGAGGATGTTTTTAACGCAAAGAATTAATTCAGTGAGCAGACATCTTCATCCGTGACTTTTCCTGATTCTTGAAGGATTCTGCTGACCAGATTATCCGGGAATATGTCTTTGTTATGATAATTAAGCATAATTAAGCATTCGTTTTTTGTATTCGCAAAGAAGAAACAGAAATCAAAAGAACTTCTAAATGCTGTCTAAACGCAATTAGTTTCCATTGCAAGGATCGAAGGACGTCAGGAAACACATAACCTCAATCTGGTGCAGTGAAATGTGCAAAAATGACCCGAAGAATCCAGCAAATATGTGTTTATCTGCATTTAAACATCCTTATTGTCTATTTCCTTGGTTTTCACGTGAATTTTCTGGCTTCCTTAGTCTTCATGTGACGAAAAATATGCGAAATTCACCACAACTATTAGCGAAATCATATTTATGACAGCTTCTTAAAAATAGTATGAACGTAAAGTTGCAACGAGCGATTAGATTCCTTTCCATCTGTGAGGGGGAAAAACCTTCACGGAAATATAGTTTGCATCACCAGAGTAATTTCCGGGTTAGGAAATTGCATTTTGCAAAATTGAAAAGTCACATGAAAAGGTCACATTGAATATTGTGATGTAGAAATTTCCTTTCACCGTCACGCTGAGAAAATTCAACGGCAAATTGCTTGGCACTTTGTGTTGTTAATGCATTCATTTGGGTACAGAAATACATCCTTGAAGGAGAGGGGGAGGAAGAGAGTGTTTTAAAAATATAAATTCCATGAATAAATGTATCGATGGAGAGTCTCGCGTGTGCTTCTCCACTGTGGGGGTGGTAATTGAAAATTCAACGGTATTTCTCATGACAATTCAATATCCATTTGTAATATTAAAATTGCCGAGGCGAGTCGAGGGATGTGCGGCCAAAAATAGCGCACTTCTCTCGTGTTCTGGGCACGTGTGTCAAGGATATCTCTCTTCCCTCGGCGCCAGAGTGTACATATACACACCCAAGGCCCCTTCCCTGTCCGATGGGAATGTATCGCGAGGGAGTGTAAGTCATTCACAAAAAGCAACCCCGAATGACCCACTTTCCCGGACACTCCCTTCTCAATGAGACTCTCTTTCTCTCTCTGTGCGCCCCAATCAATCGATACAGCTCCTGCCATTCATCCCGCGAAGCGCCAGAGATCAGATGGCAGCGGAGTGGATGGATAAGAGGCACTTTATCATGTGGAATTGCTGCAAAGTCACTTAGCCACCCTCGCATTGTGTTTGCCAGTGACAAACACCAAGTGGGAAATTACTGAGAATTTCCACAATGGCTTCTCGTTTGAAATTCACCTGAAACTCCTCTCTCTCTCTCTTGTCGCTCATTAATGATGCTATTTTTAGCCATCATCTTATCCATTTTCACCAGAGACAATTTCCACCCCCTCTTGCACACATTACATTGTGTTTCCATGAATCAATTTCCCGCGCGCGCGAGAGAGAGGAAATGTTGTGTGTGTGCAGAGGTGAAATCCTCGGATAGGAGCGGAAGAAAGTAGGTCAGACATGCGCTTGTGTGGGTGGTGAAAACCCTCGGGAAAGTCAGCAAAATTCCCAGGATAGAGCGCGTCCTGGGATGGGGGGGAAAAATCAATGAACCCTTCACAGGGTGTGGAAACGATGCAAAACTCATGTTCACAGCGTCATTTCGTATTTCTCTCTCTGTGTGTGATATTTTCTTCTGTGAGACAATAAAAATAACTTACATCCCACAGCGCCAAAGGACAGAGAGACATAAAATCATTAAGTTTATTGCAATTAAATAAATTAATATCCCAATTTGAGGGCGTATTCGAGGCTCATTTTTTCACATTCATCTACCCACTGATGCGAGGGTGGAAATTTATGAATGAGTCTCACGTCATTCAAGTGAATGTTTCACTCTCTTCTATTCACCTCAGCCCAATAAATGGAGGGTGTTTCATTCTCCCTCCCTCGCATTTTCATTTATATTTGAGCAATTACACACACCACAGCCGGCAATATAATTTAATTAAGAGTCTATTTGGGAATTTCATCAAATTAATGGCTGCATAATGAGGCGAAGGCATAAAACTTGTCACTATGAATGAAATTGCTATCAATTTTAGGCGACAAACACGGCAGAGTTTCATATAAAAAAAATGTTTAAGAAACATTTAGAGAAAGAGAGAGAGAGAAAATCTCACCAATCCGCCAACACTCTTTAATAATAATGATTGTTCACCATCTCGATGTCGAGAGTTAAAGGAAAGGCATCAATAAAATTATGTTGCTTTAGGTGTGAATCACAGAAATCCATTAAAATGCTATGAAATTTGAACCTTTTATTTAGTATTTTCTGCAAAAATGCAGAACTTCTCAGTGACATTCACTTGTCAAGAGAATCACATCCAAATTGCACAAGCTTTGACGCTAAGGGGTGGCTAATATTGGGGATGCAGTGCCACTTTTGGCTTCAGATGCAAATTTAAAAAATGCCAAGAAAACGTTTCCTTCTTCGTGAATCTTTGCTTCATTTTCAATGCATCGCAATGCATTATTTTTCGTGTAATTTGCATTTGATTCGTTTAAAAAATTATTTATAAAGCTTTTGTTCACAATTTTGTAAGAGTAAAAAGCGAATTTCTTAGCTGAAAAGCTCGCAAAAAGCAATGAAAATACAATAATATGTTAATACTTGATCTTTAATCGGATATTTACGATTTTACGCAAGGTTTTATGATCAAAACGAGTCAAGAAAAACCATAAAGTGTTATTTAGTAGTTCAATATTATTCTTAAACTAAACCTCAAATTTCAAAATCTTTTAATTTCTGTATTTAAACATAGATTTATATTTGTTTTCTTAAAGTATTTTTACAGAATATAATTTTTATTCCAAGTTTTCTTCCTAAAATTCTCTGTCATATTTTTATAGACTTTTATGAATGATCTCCAAACGGGTTAGAATAATTCTCTCAACGCCCTAAAATCTACCTTCAGACCTAAAATCCAATTTTTCTCCTTCATTTTCCACTCTTTTTTCCTCAAAATCCCGAATAGTGTTCTCGACTCTGTAATTTTGAGTCTATTTTCTGAGATCTTGAATGCAGACAGAAGATGCTGGGGCATTGAAAATCAATATTAGCAACCCCTTGATCGACACACAGACGAATTGAGTTACTTCTCTTGGCAAGAAGGCAACGCGCGCGAACAATTTTCGTGGGCGCGACAAGTTTTCATTTCGCGTGGCGAATGAGTTTTGAGATCCAGTGTCTTGTGATTTCACATAATGCTCAAGCACGTGGGATAATGTATTTAATTGCAAATCCACTTTTGCAAGTTGGGTGTGAAGTGCAAGAAAAATTGCCACAATTTTCACACTCGCGCGATGATGATGAAAACTGCATTTTTCATCATTGCACTCTTGCATTTTGACTGAGTGTGTGACAAGGATTGATTGACCATCAAGACACTGTGTTACATTTCTTAGTAAAATCCTCCTATTTTGGGGACATTTGCAATTTTGCCAACACACTTTTGAGTGTGTTATTCAATTGGATTCTCCAAATCGGCGATTTTGTCGGAAAATATCAAAAGCCATCCTAAAAAAGTCCGTAAACAGATAATTTTTATGTTGCGCTGAAAACTCGATTTTGAACAGTAAATTTAATTTTCGCAGCATTTTTCATTCAATGAAAGATATTTGATGAATTTATAGGAGAAATATTAGATCTACTGGATATTTAATTTCGTTTATTTGCAATTTGTTGAGAAATTCATACAAATTGATTTTTTCCTGTGTCTTTTTAGTGATTTTGCAGTCTTAAATCCACTTTTAATCATCTATAATTGTGGATATCTTAAGTTGAGCATAATTTTGTGTTGTGAAACATATCAAATACGGAGCGAATAATTCTAAATGCTGATTAAAATCAACGAAATTACATGAAAAATCAGTCGAATTATGAATTCTGTTCAAAAAATCTCTCTATTTCAGTTGTAAATCTTATGAATTATAAAGAAAATGTACAATATATTGACTTTTTGGCTTTTTTATTGTGAATTTGTCAATCAATTCTGCATATTTTAGTTAATATTTCAATGAATAACCAATGAAATCAGCTGAAAGGTATAGAAAATAAGTTTAAATTGATCAATACTATCAATTCAATGGACAATAAGAGGGAGTTAAGGGAAAAATGAGACTAATTTCAAATAAATTCAATTCTCAACCTTCAAATTGCTCTATTGAAGAATGTTTTCGCGCCACTCGTTGAAATAATCAAGCAAAAGTTTATATCCAGTCAGAGTTGCTATAACACTTGTTCTTAATGTGATTTTTCTTTTATCGAAACCTTTAAAGACACACGATTGCTCTTCAAATAGAGAAATCACTTTATTATCTCACTATCAATTCCCGTGGGGCGCGGAGAAAGAGCCACGATATCTGGTGAAAGTGAGCACTTTGTGAGGTCGTGAAATCGGGGTGAAATGATAAATCAATTCCCGAAAGCCTGGGCAAATCGGAGGAAAATAAAAGGAAGGGAGTGAGAGATTGATAGGGCAATTTTCTCCATGCGACAATCAATTGGGAATGTTAATGACTGTTGGCAGAGTGATCTAAATTGTTTTTTATATCACCTTGTTTGTCCTCGTGGGCAAGGAGAGTGTTGCGGTGGGAGCCAAGTGACGTCAATGGAGCCATTGAGCACTCCCGAATCTGGGTCACGTGGGGAGGAGATTGAGGATGCCTGGAGGAGGTCCTGGAGGTGAACGAGAGCGAGGTCGTTGGCGTCCTCTCTCATTGATGATTCCACAGGCGAAGTGGGTCACTGGGCTCGTGATGACGCATCTGCCGTCCTGGCGCTGACGTCATGAGGAGCTGGAATCCGGGAGAAAAGTGTGTCAGTGAACTTGCGGGAAAAGTGGGTCGAGCTTGTGAATGAATGGGGAATTGCGGCGATGACGCAAGAGTTCCGAGGGCATTGTCTCTCCGGCTCGAGGGGGATGATGATGGGGGTTGGATTCCAGGGAACTGGGACAAGCACTGGGTGTATTTTCGTCCCACATCCACTCGCTCTCTCTGGTGGATAAAATTATTTGGCAATGGAGCTATTTTTAGCATCGGGAAGTAGGACAAGGGAATATCAAGCGCTGGCAAACTTTTCCCAAACTCTCAACAACTCCATGGGCGACGAGGGTGGAACGTTAACAATTGATTCATGGCAATTTTTCCTCGAATGGGGGATGGATTCCAGGGAATGTGGCCAATATTCGCTCGAGAGCTTCTCTCGAATTTGGGAATTGAATAGCATCAAAGTGAATTTTGGGGGGGGGGAGAGAATGTGGAAAATGGGCGAAAAATTAATTGAATTTCTCACCATTGACAACTTCTCATGAGATTGAAGCTATTTCTGGCCTGTGAGCGCACTTTTAGATGCTGATTTCGAAAGACTGGTCTATTTTTGGGGTACATTTCAAAATGCTCTCTATAGCTTCATTCATTGATTTCACAAGTTTCTCTACCCGGGATTATTGAAACACACTCTTTGGCTTCCCGTTGATGGGTTTATTGAATGCAATTTCGGGCTATAAATACAAGTTTTCCTCAATAGCCAACTGTCTGTCGATTGCCGAAAGGCGCTTGTTTGAGTGAAAACTTTCAGGATATCCTGTAAAATCAACCACAAGAAGATGTTGTGATAAGAAATGTGCATTTAGAATTGTTAACTAGTTGAAACCAATCGATTGGATATTTTAGCGAGCCAGAAAAGCTAACAAAAAGCAGATAATTTAGCTGAAAAGTGCTAAGATGAAGTATTGAAATGGAAACTTACAAAGCCAGCAATTTCAAGCTAAATTACCTAATTTGTCATCAATTTTCTAAGCAATTTTCCGAATTTGTCTGCAGTTTTAGCTAAATGTTGTGCTAAATTTTTTGCTTTTTACTTATCAGAACTTAGTAAGGAAACAGGAAGTCTAACTTGTCTTCCAAATGTCTTTGTGGCCTAAAATGCCTGAAAATCTCTCAATTTTGTGGTTATTTGCATGGCTTTATTTATACAATTTACTTGAGTGTTGTTATCACGAAGAATATAATTGAAATGGCATGATTTTACTTCGTGCGACATCTGTGCATTTAAGTGCGCATCAATACTTTGACTGGTCGCCGCTACGTTCGCTAGTGCATCAACCGAATGGATAAATTCTTAGCGAAAGAAAGCAGAAACATTAGCTTTTTGAGTCTCAACGTTGAGATTTGAACTTGAATTTATTTAAAGTGATTTTCGGAGCACTCAGAAGCCAACTGTGTCTCTTATCCAATCGCGCACGGCAGTAACTCGAACGTAGACTGCGGGAAGTCCTGCCTCGCCACAAGCGCTTGATCCTCTCGAAACTACGCCCACGAGCAGATTGTCCATGACCAAAGGACCTCCGGAATCACCCATGCATGCATTATTTGTCTCTACTTCGAAGTTTCCAGCACAAATTTCCGCTGTTGTTATGTTTTTCCCAATCTTCTGCAAATGCACGCTTCTGCATCGATCGTCGTTGACTTTAGGAATGTTTGCAACGCGCAAATTATCATCATCGTCCACAAATGAGGTCAATCCAAAGCCTGACACTTGCAGAATTGTTCCATCCTGAATCTCTAGATCAGCTTCGGGCAGTTTGATTGATTGAATCACTGAACTGAATTGGAGGGTTTTTGTCAGCTGCAAAATCCCAATATCAGGTGTCCTGACGTCACTTTCCCGAGGAGGAACAAATATTTCGTCGACAGGAGATGAATCCGTTCCGGATTCTACTCGAGTGTTCATGCCGAAATGTATGAGAAAATGCTCTATGTTGAAGCCAAGACTGAAAAATGCAAAGTACATTAGATTCACTTTGATTCGCATCAGCACGCACGCACGCACGCACCAGCAGTGAAGTGCTGTCACAACGTGCTTCACACTTATTATGCTGCCTCCGCAATTGTGTTTTCCTTTGTATCTAACGGACACTTGATAAGGAATACTTTCAATGGACACAATTTCGCCGCCAAATATTCGGCCTTGATGTGTTTGAGAGTCAGCGAGTGAAGCCAAAGAAAGAAGGATCAGCGAAAACACCAAAAGCATCATTTTGCTTACAAACTGCCGCACAATAAAGAAATGCATTTAGAAGAAACGACACGCATGCATTTATAGGCCTTAAAGTACGGGAATAAGTGGAATAAATCAATTCGATCAGAGTTCTGGAGCAAATCAATGCATAAATTAATAAAATGTTGATTAAATATTGGATCAATTCCCACTCAAATACAAGAATGTTAAACTTCAAACAGGTAAAAGTTTAACATTCAGAATGAAGAAGAAAAAACACGCTCTGAATTCTCGCTAAAACAGTGAGAAAGAAGGAAAGAATATATTGCAACTTATTCTGCAGCTTCCGATTTGTCACTCTGCTTTTGACACATTAATTAAAACAACCTCCAGAAGTCGCTATAAAATAACACATTCGAACAGTACAGCCAGAATTGTAAATATTACAAGTGCTGAATTTTGAAGCGATTCCCAGTTAAAGTAAGGAATGTTATACTTCAAACTTGTAAATAAAAAGAAACAGCCTTTACTTTTCTCGCAAGACAGTTTTTTTTAGAGTTTTAAGGGATTCCATATTATGTACCAGAAGAGAAATGGTGAAATTTGTCTAAATTATTAATGAGTAATTTTGTGTTAAACAGAATTTATTGCAGAATTTAATGTTCATGCTTGAAAATCAAAGATTGATCAATCTTTGCAAGTTATTCTGCAGCTTTCAATCTGTAATTTTATTTTTTACGTATTCCTTAAATCCTCCACTGTAAATCGTAATGAAACAACACATTCAGATGATATAAATTTGCTTAACACGTGTCAGAATGAAGAATAAAATATCAAATCAAACAACATTTTATGTATTGTTTAACTCAGAATTCCAAAGGCTGTTTAAAACTAATATAACACAATTTTAACATTGCGTTTTTAAGTGAAAATCGTTTCATTTAATAGCGAAAGCGTGTGTTAAATCAATTTAACACATTTTTAACATTTCTTGTGTGATTGAGAATTGATCCAGATCCAGAATATATCGCGATTTACTGCAAGTTTGAGTATTTTATGAGAAAAGTTTGTGACTTTTTAATGTGTCAGAGAGAATTTCAAGGGATTTCTTAAGGAAAACACATCATTGAGCGGAATTTGTTGAAAAGACAGCACTGAAAAGCAATAATTACTAGGATTTAAACATGAATTTCTGAGCCAACATTTCAGTATAGCGAAGGAGAAGTGATGTTTTATTAGAAGTGAAATAGCTTCGCTGCCTTCGGAGCTGCGAAATTGCGTCTGGGTGTCAAATGCGGAGGCTTTAAGATGGCAGAAGAGAAGCCTTTAGGAAGTCCCACAATTCTCTTCGCCCAGCGCTCGTGTGTTTGGATTACATGGAAAATTTGAATGGAGTGAATTTAATGAATGGGGAGTGAATGAAGAAAAGCCACAAGAGTCGATAATCCGTGAATGTGTGGCGTGTTATGCAAATGTCCCTCCGCGGATGCTCCTTCTGCGCCTTCTCTCTCTCTGGGTCTCTCTGGATGGTGGCGAAAGAGAAGGGTGGGATGGAATGCAAATTTTCTCCTATGCTGAAAAGTTTGACTTAACATAAAATATCAATTTTCTCGCGCCCGATCTTCGTGGCCTGGACTCATTAGCACACCTCCGGGCGGGAGACTGCGGTGGCCCCGATGCGATGCTGTGCGATACATTGTGGCGGAATGGAGATTCCGCTTTGGGAGGAATTTGTACAAAAGTGACATTTTATCAGGAATATATGAATGAGGGAAGGCAAAGCTCATGCAATATTCAATTCTCAACGCGCAGCAATTCAATTCAAATTACACAAACACACACTCAACATCTTCCCTCTCCTTTTCTCTCTCTCTTTCTCTGCAGATTTCGCGACAGAGCATCGATGCCTGCAAGGATTACTTTAGGGATGATCTTATTAAAGCCGACTGGGCGCTGATGGTGGAGCTGAAGAAGCTCTTCCAGATCCTCTAGATGACTTTCTGCAGCTGACAATTCCCCCTCAACCCCTTCCAACCATCTCTCGACACCGCGAACTGAGGTCAGGATAATCGGATTTTTGTAATTACCTGTAAAACAACCTGTAATTGATACTTTGAGAGAAAGAAATTGCTATATATATATATATATATATTTTACATTGGTTTGGAGAGCAGAGAAGAAAACAGAGTGTTTTTGTGGCGAGAGAGAAACTGTTGACGCCGCGCTTATCAGCGCATCTTATCGGCCGGATGTTATTGCCCGGGCGTGTGTGAGTGGAAATTCGCCCGGAAGTGGCCCTCGAGAGTCTCCCCTGGACGGGCGTCGCCGAGTGACAATTGTCAGGGCAATGTTCATTGATTAATTGACAAGCGTGGGAGTGCGCCAGGGCGCCGGCGCGCGTCCTTGACCTTGGCCAGGACTTCCCCACGTGCGAGAGTGTGTGCGTGGATGGGCTCGTGATGGGTTCCCATGGAAATTGTGCGTGGGTGGCTGGGTGTAGCCCCCAAATCGCACCCCAATGTCTAGGTCACGCCCGCGAGGCGCTGCCAGTTGGAGCTCCTCATTCGCCCACGCCTGGCCCGCGAGTCCTGCCCAGAGACGCCATGCCGCGGACAGCCATCTTTCGCCATCGTCATCATCATCATCGGCCACCCACACCCGGAATCCGGCGGAAGAGGCGGTCCTGCTGAGCCCACGCGCGCCGCCACACAGCCTCAGAGGCTCTCCGCGTTCCGGGCGAGGGAGTCGCGTGGCCAGGAAGAGCTCCGATGGACTTTGGGGAGTGTCAGTGATCGTGTTCCTCACAAGTGGTAAGTGAAGATTCTCCACATTCCCACTTCAAGAGATCATTTTGACCCCAAGAAGACTGCGTATTGCTCGAGTTTCGGGTGATTTCACGGGAAAAAGAATTGAATTTTCAGCGCAAAGAAGTGCGAAACCTGTTAATCCTTTTCTATAGAATAAAATTGGTAAGTGGTTTTGCGACTTCTTTCTCTGAAATAGTACAATTTTGTCTTTTCCTGTGAATTCCACTCATTCTCCCCTAAATTAGATAAACCAAGGGGCAGATATTACGGTCGGAAGAGGTGTACAGCTTTTAAGGAAGTGTTAGGAATTGGAAGAGGTAACATACTAAAAATATTTTTATTGTAAAAGCTTCTGTTCCAACAAATTGAAGCATTTCCTAATTATTTTTCTAAGAAAAATCAATTTTATCGATTTTCTAGGTTATGTAATTGATTTAAAATAGATTCTGGCGATTAAATAACCCTTAAAATCATCAAATTTGTGAAAACAAGGAATATTTTACTTTTTTTCTCAACAGAAAACCTCAGATTGGTTCAATTTTAGGGATAGAAAACAGCTTAAAAGTCAACCATAACCTCAAAAATATCATTTCGACGATTTGTGCTTTAAAGTGGCAAATTCTACTCTATTTAGTGGAAACATCGTAATATTTGCTATATTTACTCATTTCCAGGTTAGAAAGGAATAAAATTATTCCAAGAAGGATTTTAGGCCGAATTCATAACCTCACAAAACTAGAAAATCAAAAATAAGTTGTTCGTGAACAAATCCTGCGACTCTAAGATCATTTCTTACAATCTGGAATCAAAGCATTCAAAGAGCTTGAACTGAGTCGGAAAACCGATGGAAAAAGCCCTTAAGGAAGTGGTGTACAGAGTCTAGGCATCCAATCTCTCCCTTGGGAAGAGCACATTAGAGCGGAGAGTAAACGATGTCCCGATCGGAGGTCAATGGGATCAATTGTGGCCTTCGGCCGCGGCCGCTGCGACTGTCACGCCCGCAGTCGCGCAGCGTCGCTCCAAAAGCCAATTCAAATGCACGCGGCCGCCCTTGAGCGCCTCCTGAGAGGTGCATTCCACGGCGATGAGTCTCCGCGCTGGCGACAGTCTTTTTCTTCTCCAGCAGGACTCGCGCTCGCTGACCCCTCAGCATAATTCGCGGATTGTGCATCCGCAGCATAACATATGAGACATAAGCGCTTTAATTTATTGGGCTCCGTGTATAAATTGCCGGCTGGATCGTGGGCTCTGCTGCGGCTGCAAAGGAGGGAAGAGATATTTATGACAGAATAAATGCGAATTTATGAATTTTTCATTAATAAAATGTTGTGTGCAGAGTCGCGGCCGGGCGAAATGCATGGAAAGCTCATCGTCTCTCGTCTTTGGCGCCAAAATGCAGCGCGAACGCGTGCGCTCAGATGGAATGTTTCATTCTCGCCTCGCCGCCTGTGTGTGAATGTGTTGATCGCGCGCCGCTCGGCGTGAGTGGGAGTGAGAGAGCGCGCGATCGTGTGAGCGGTGCAAGCGCGAAAAATGGCGACGCCCGACGTCCATTTTGCGCGATCACTCGGCGCGGATCTGCACTTGAGTTTTTCCACACAAGCGCGCTCGTTTGCTCGGCGCGCTCGTGATCTGGCGTGAGTACGTGATTGAGGATCGGTGGTCCTTGCCGTTGCCTGTGCCGCGCGCGACAGCAGCGCCCGAGACACCAACACACGCGCGATCGCGCGCCCAGTGACGCTGTGGATTTTTACATAATCACGAGAAACTTCACATTGGCTCGCATTGTGCCAGAGTGACGGTGTTGTCTCTTAGTTGTTTCCCAGCCATTTTCCACGGAGGGCCGCGAATGTCCAGCGTGTGAGGATTAGGCCGTGCGCGTGTGTGAATGAGAGAAGCCCGGGGCGGGAGAAGGAAGCGCAGCAGAAGAGAGAGAGAGGGAAGATGGGAAAGTGAAAATGCAGCGTCAGGAATTGCGCGATCGCCCAAAATAGTGCATGATCGTGTGCAAGCGACCAAAAAGTGATCTTAATTTATAATTGTGGCGAAAATATAAATATCAGTTGATACTGCCAAGCATCATCGGCTGCTTCGATGGAAGGCTGAGGGCCGACGCAATGTGAGTGTTGGCTTAATGAATCGCCCACGCTTTTTTCGACTTAATGATCGCGCGCTCACACCCAGTATTGAATCAAGCGATCGTGTGTGCCTTTCCAATTCTCATGCTCTTCCACATGCGCGCGCGATCGCTGAATGAAGCGCGGCTTTCGTGCCCCTTTTGTCCTCGTCGCTCTCTCTCTCTGGCCAGGATCGCGGCCAGATAAACACCCAGCGCGTGAAGACAAATTGCCAGAGTTCCTTTTCTTCCTCCCTTTTTCCCACCCTCTGTCTCTCTCTCTCCTTCCCTTCGCGATCGCGGCGCGCGATCAGTGGTAAAAAATGCCCAACTTTTTCTGTCACTGTAGTTGTTCTACTTCTCTGGCCATAATGAAAAATAACAAGTATGGGTGAGGAGGAAAAGAAACAAGAACACGAGAGAGAGAGTCTCTTGGGTCCAGTGACCGCGTAGTTCTATTTATAAATATAAAATTTTCATTTATGTGCTTGTTGGATATGCGATCGCATACAGAATGTTCGCGTTCTACAACTTCTTGCGCCGCCAATGCACGAGTATTTGTTCTATTTCACTGCAACTGCACCGCGCGCGCCAGTCTCTCACTCTGCCAAGGAGCAAATTTCCGCCGATCGATCAATTAAACCTCTGCGCCCATTCATCAGCACGCCGGCCCAGGAAATTGCCTCCATCAGCCGGATATTGCGTGGCGGCCGAGGAGGCAGAAAAAAGCAACTGATGGGCTGTGCTGTGCCTGAGTCAACAAGTCAATATTTGCACGTATCGTGATTGAGAAGTAGCGAAAATCATCCATCTATTTATTCAATTCTCTTTGCGCCCCACGAAGTAGGAAAAAAAGAGTCTCCAAATTCGCCATGGCCAGAGAGAGAGAGTGAAAAAAAGGCGCGCAAATGGCATTCCGTGATCGCGAGCGTGAAAATGTGCAATTGGCAAAGTGTGACCTTGATTGGGCGCGCGGGCTCATTATCGCGGGGCTGTTGAGAATGCAATTTTTACGAGAGTGACAAAAATAAGACTATTAATTAAATAAACAATCGCCAGGCATTTTTATTTCACTGTTTTTCACACACTTAATTGCCTGAGAAATTGATAGCTTTCGTCATCGCGTCGCTGCAAATCGCTTTTGAGGACGTTTTCAATTATTCAATGATATTCTTTTATTTGGCCATGATTGTTTACAATTTTCAGCTATCGCGCAAGCGATTGCAACTGCCACTGTCACTCCAGTCACACAGAGCACTTCCAAGGCATATTTCTCACACGACAGAATTGATTGCAAATCGCAGTGCGCGCAAAGTGCTCAGAATTCGTTGGCGGAAACATTTCAAAAAAATGCCCAAGAAAGTTATTCCACCGCGATTACTAGGGGTTTAACTGAGCGCAGAGTTCTGAGCTTAGAGATCAGACAGTTCTCAGAACTTCAGACTTCTTGGATTGCTTAAAACAAGACTAAAATTTAACTGAAAATATTCAAATTCACGTTTTCTTACAATATTTTATGATTTTTTTCCACTAAAATTACTCTTTTTCGTATATTTCTTGAACGTAATCCTTAAAATAAAATTAAATATTCATTACTAATTCGAAATCGCCACTGTTTAGTGAAAAGTTGAGGTTATGTTTGACTTTAGCCTTATTTCCTCCAAAATCACGTTTTTCATTGAGTAAAAACACGCAATTCTACAAATAAAGTGAAAATTCCTTCAATTTAGGCACAAGAATTTCCAATTTAAGATGTTATTTACTTTTAAATTAGTTACATAACCTAGAAAAATATGTCAAAATAGTCAAAATTAAGACTTGGTTTAAAATTAATTTCTGAGAGCAAAATAATCAATAGAAAATCAAAATTTTTAGCCAAATTTTGCATAAATTTAAGAAATTCCATTTCCTAAAACTTTTACCGATCTGTACATCACTTCTGATCATATTATCTCCCCCTTGGTAGGCTTTAATGCTTTAAAAGAGCACAAAAATTCTCTTGGTTGCTCAAAAATAGGAAGTTTTTCTGCAAATTTGCTGTTTTTACCTTCTTCCTTCCCTTCCTGCGATTCCTGCACAAAGTGTACAGCAGAAGGATCTCTTCTTTCCCACCTGAACCAGTCATTATCACTGGTTTTCTGTGTATTTCCCAATAAGACAGCGTGAAGAACTGAGCAAATTGAGCCAAGTTTTCCTATTAAGATAGTTTGAGAGCCCGAA